TGAGCGAGAGTGAGCGAGAGTGAGCGAGAGTGAGCGAGAGTGAGCGAGAGTGAGCGAGAGTGAGCGAGAGTGAGCGAGAGTGAGCGAGAGTGAGCACTGGACTGTTGGGATGCTTTCAAACCTGGAAATAGACAGAAACACAGCCCCCAGATTAAACAGAGAGGAGGAGGTGAAAGTACTTCAGCAAGTCCGACGTCTCACCTTGTCGAATTTGACCCTGAACTCGCGGCCACACTCCAGAGGGGTGGTGAAGGTGTCCAGGTCCTGACCCCAGAAGGCAAAGAACTTCTCGATGCGCAGGCTGCGCAGGGCGTAGTACCCCGAGTTCCGGATCCCATACTTCTGCCCTACGGACATCACCTCGTTGTACACGTGCAGCGCGTACTGAGAGGGGGGGAAGAGGAGGAGGGTGAATTCACACAGTCTGCTAGAAATGCATCCCTAAGTCCAACAGTCTGGGATCGCTTGTGAATTCTTCTTGAGTGACTGTGCAGGCAAAAGACTCTCCAGCTGTGTTCAGAAATTTAAATGCAGCTCACATTTGCTCTTGATTTGCAAAACTGTAGCAGGGTGACTAGCTTCTGATAAGTTTAAAGGGATGCCCGGACGCTGAGACCAATAGCAAAAAAACAAACAAAGATGATTAAGTACGGAGTGTGAATCTTAGACTTTCCCTGGACAGCCCTGTCTTGAGACGTCTGGATGCTACACTAATAGAAATCCCAAACAGTCTGGGCTTGCTGGTATCTGGTATCGCACCAATGACTTTTCACTGTCGCTGGCAAGCTCACCCTAGTCTGCCTACGCAACCTGGGAGGGCGACGCACTCGCACAGAGGACCAGCTCGCCTGCGCCCCCCCCTTTCTACACCCTCAGTGAGCTGCGTGCAGGGAGACAGGGGGCGCAGCTGGCATGAGGAGGAAGGGGGGAGGCGGCTGTACCCTCTGCTCTCGGAGCCTTACCTCAATGGGGATGTAGAGCATGAATCCAGGCTCCCCCGTGTGCGTCATGCTCATCACGCGGATGCCATTGGCGTAGCCCACACTCATTTCCTGCCAAGACAGCACACTCAGAAGCACGCCCCCTAATGGCCAATAACTCACCGCCATGCCCAACCAGCAGAAGAAGACCTTGTGCAGAGAGGACCTAAAGAACACAGTGCAAAGCCAGGACAAGCTGAATAACCTGGAAGGCTACGATGAACAGATGCGGGCCCGGGTGATGTCACGTTCATTGTAGCCAATAAAGAACAGCACTCTTTTACCAAGTAACCCTGCAGCCACAAATTCTTAGTTTAAGGCAGGAGTCTTTCTCCTCGTGTGTGGAGGGGCTGGGGGGGTGGTTCGGTGTCCAGTCCACACAGAACCGGCACGCTACACGGCGTCAGGACTGGCGCGCCGCAGGAGGGAGGGAAGGAGGGAGGGAAGCCCACCTTACAGAAGAGCGAGGGGAAGTGGTCAGGAGTCATGGGGACGTAGGACAGCTCCGAGAGAACGTCCATTGCACGCGGTCCAATCAGGTTCAGGGCTGGAAAGACCGGAGGACAGAGGTCAGAGAGGTCAGAAAGGACCCGTCACAGGACACTGGACAGCCACACTGACTTCTGAGCCGCACCTCAAGGGCATGGAACAAAAGAGGCGATTATATTAATTAGCAATTAAATCTAATCTAGAACCTTTTAAGTTTTCTAAATGCAGGCAATCCGGCTATTCTGACTGTTCCCTTTAAAACTTATGTCAGATGGTTTTACTTGTATTATGCCATCTGGTTCTGGTAATCAAAGTGAGCTCAAATTTCTTGCACCGTTTTAGCTTGTGACTTCTGGGAATACACACATCTATTTGTTTTTCCACAGTGAAGGAGTGTAAACACGTAAATGTAAAACTATTTTGAAGGATTGAGTTTATCCCAAGGATGAGCTCTTCAAAATGAGTTAGTGTGAAGAGACTAAAGCAAAACATTTGAAAAGTTATTGAGGTTTTCTTACACATGTGTTGCATCACAGCCTGCGGACATAACACTCGAGGAAAGGAGAGAGTCAGACGTTCAAACACCTGCCAAAGCCCTTAGCAGAACCCATGACAAGAGCCAGGTGCGATCACACCCCTCCGCGGCGACAGGGCGGGGCTCTCACCTGTGTACTTCCAGGTCACGTCCTCCAGGTGCAGCTGGGGGTCACTGCGCATGTGCTTCCTGATCCAGGCCCAGCAGTGCACCTGCTGGTCAGTGGGAGAGATGATGAAGAAGCTGGGGGAGAGAAAAGCTGGGATGAGCTGCTTTTTTCCTGCGCACACACATCAGCAAGTCGCTTCAGGATTGCCTATCCGGGCAGGATACACCTGGACATCACACACGGACACGCACACTCTCACACCAGGGCCTGTTTTCCCAGAAGCCCATTAGCTCACCAGCATGTCTGTGGACTGTGGCTGGAAACCAGAGCAGCCGGAGGAAAGCCATGTGAAAGCAGGGAGAACACACAAACTCCACACAGACAGCACCCCAGGTGTGGAATGGAAGCCAGGGCCCCAGCGCTGCGAGGCAGCAGTGTTAATCACTGGGCCACTGTGCCACAATAAACTGTATATCCTTACTGTCTTTTCAATGCTTACATGCACTGTCTAGAACATGCAAACGGTCAACATAAAGTCTTCTCCACCGTGAGCTTCATTCGGTGTTTCTGGTTTGATATCAATCACTCTGGGGCTGCTTCTTGGGAAGAAGCATTGCCGAGAATTCCCTTCGTTTCCCCTCCAGGCCCTCACGCTCTGAGCGCCAGTCCGCGCAGCCTGCCAGTCTCCCGCTGAGCCCCAGGGGCCCCGTGCCCACCCTTCACCCCCCACCCTGCGCACCTGTTCTTGCTGAGCCGCACCACGCTGCAGTCGTTCTCGTAGCAACCCCGCTCGTTCAGCATGCCCGTGTGGACAATGTGCCCGACGGGCACGTCCAGGTCATTGGCGCAGAGGTGCTGGAGCAGCTCCAGGGCCTGGTCCCCAGTAGACTGGCAGGACAGAGAGAGAGTGGTGAGCAGAAGAATCTTCCCCACTCTCAAACAACCACACAACTCTGTAGACGGAAACCGGGCTCAATCTACAGCCTTCTGATTAAATTTCAAAGGGTTCCCACAATACCATAAAACTGAACACCCCAAAACAACAACGTCTCCTCAACCCTTTTGCTTTCTTTTTCACAGAACAGATGCTCAGTACAAACCAACTGCTTTTATCAATGGTGTTAGTAGTGTGTTACTAGTGACAGCAGTACTGTGCACATTAGTCACCATGGTAATGCACTATCTAAACATGTTTTTATGGTGATTATGTGCTTTCCTCTGCTCTCCGAGTTCTTATGGAGGTGTGGAAATGAGGTTTATGGCTTCCAGGAACAGAGGCCCCGTGTGAGCTCAGCCCAGGATCTAACCCCTGCCCTACAGCTGTGTGTAGTGTAGCTGCACCACAAGCCCCTCCAGGCCCACTCCTGTTCTCTGGCTGAGCATGACGACTCCTTGCCATGCAGTGCCTGGAAGCCAGGCTGAAAGGCGTGACTCACGCTGAGCTCGAACTTGGTGAAGGAGGACATGTCGATGACGCACACAGCCCCCTTACAGCACTTCACCTCCGCGCCCACGATGTCAAACCAGTCGGGCTTGTAAAAGGTCTTGCTCTGATCCAGGGCCAGGAGGTCTGAGGACAGAGCATAGACAGGAGAACACATCTCACCTTTCAGGAGTAAAAGCATGTCATGTGGCCTAGAGGCACCCATGAGCAGGAGTCTCTCTAATCTAATCTTGCAATCTCAGTTATTATTCAAATTAATTCTTTACTGTTGCTTTTCCCCAAGTGAAAGGTAAGGTGGCGAACTCTGTATCATCTTAAGCCTCAAGAATCAATGGGCAAAAGTGCCGAAACCGAACATATTCCTGAGCGCAGAGCGCAGGAGGCTGATGGGTGGGGGGGCGTCTTACCTTTCCCAGATGGGACAAAGTACTTGGCCCTCTCGAACCCGTGCTTCTCCATCCAGCGGGCTCCCTGCGCGTCGAGCCGGTCGTACAGAGGAGAGGTGCGAAGCTGTCGCCCGGTCTGGAAGTCCCAGCGTGGCACCTTCAGCTCATAGATCAGGGCTGCAGGCACACAACGTGTCCCGAGCTGCATCAGGCCTCCCAGCGACACCTGGAGCCCAGACCCCTGACCACTGCCCCTCATGACAGCCCCCACAGCTCACTGGCACTGAACACCACTATCCCTACTGCACAAGGGCAACCAAGAACTGGCAAACCGATGGGGTGCAGCAGACACCGTTTACCTGCACCCCATTAATTAACTCCTGGTGGCCCAGGGCATCATGAAATGGCCTTTAAAACGCAGCACTGATTGGAAGTAGGTCCCCTCCTTAGACTTTATTCCAGGCTTTGATGATGAATTCAAACTGAAAATGTACTCAATTTAACATGAGAGCTAAATGATATTTGTGTCTTCCTGCCACTTACACAATTCTGTGTTCAGCTGAAACATTACATACATGCTCCCAGCCATGTATAACATGTTCATGTTATTTCACTGCGTCATTGTCTCCGATAATAAATAAATCCAGGTGTGACAGACTATCGATGGCTATATGCTGTATGGAAACTGCAGTAATTAAATGACTAATCGCGATGATCGTTTAATAAGTGGCTTTAAAAGAAGCTTTATAGATCTCCATGCTGCATGTCTGAAACGCGGGTTTCGAGCTACGCTAGCTGGGGTGCTGTCCCCGCCGCCCCCCCCTGGCCCCCGCGGCCTGTACTCACGCATCACCTCCATGACGCGGTGCCGCAGGAAGGTGCGACTGCTCTGCAGGTTTCCGAAGCGCTTGATGTCCAGGGGCCACACGTTGTCCGAGGGATACCCGTACGTCATCCACTCCGCCAGGTACCTGCGGGCGACGCCAGAGGGGGGCGGCACTCAGAACGCGCTGGGGGCGCGCGTGCTGCCCTGCGGAAACCTCTCCAGGACGCGCGGGCGTACTCACTTCCCGGCTCCTCCGGCCAGCGACAGCCCCGACGAGTTCATGCCTCCCAGCACGAAGTACCCGCTCACAGTGGGCGTCTCCCCCATGAGGCAGCGCATGTCCGGGGTGAAGGATTCTGGGCAGTTGACCAGCTGGTGGATTTCACAAGAATCCAGGCTGGGCATGCGGCGCAGGAGGGCGCTCAGCATGGGCTCTGCGGGCACAGCAGGGCGAAGACACGGGTTTGAACGGGGAAAGCAGCACGAACAAGGCCGACACTGGCGAAGAATTCAAGGCTTAAAAGCAGACGTGGATCACAACTCTTTAGAGTCTTTAGAATGGTTCAAAAAAGCACTTGAAATGAGAAAAACTAAATTTCAATGACAGTTTGTGAACTGTAGTTTTTAAACAGATAACCTTACCTACTGCAAGCACCCTGGAAGAAACAGTCTGCCAGGTCACTACGCTAACTGTGTGTTTAAAGCGTTTTAAGCAATATACGTAAACATTTTAAACTGAAAACACAAGGCACTTCTGTACACAAAGGGTTGTGGGAGTATAAAACAAGCCACCAAACCATGTTGACGAAGCCAAGACCCTGGACAAGATTCTTGGACCAACCTGCCACTTTAAAACGAGGCTAATATACCAAAAACATCAATAACAACCATCTGCATCAACACACGTGGCTCTGTGTCAGTATTAGTGTGCCTGAGACAGAAACCTTGTTTCAGGCCAGTGACTCAATGAAGTCATTCAAAAAGCAAGGCCACAGTTAATGCAAAATAATTCAAAGAGTTCAAAAAGTGCAGCCTAGTATAATTTAATGACATTGAAATGAACACATCGGCTCTGTGAACCAAGCTCAGTTCTGATGTGTTTGACAATGCCAACTTTTATTTTTCACACAATCAGCTGGAATGATTGTTGGGATAAAACTGTTCGTTACTCATTGCATATCCCGTCCTCCCAATGAATAATTCTCCAATGCCCCCCCACAATTCCCCCTCCCCCTGTTCTTGCCCTCAACACGACGAGCCGGCGCCCCCGGTGCGCACCAAAGTGATCCCAGTCCTCCTGCAGGCCCTGGATCTCCAGCTGGTTCCTGCCCTCGGTGAAGATGGGCTTGGGGTTTTTCTCGAAGCCCCCCGACAACACCCCCCCCTGCCAGGCCCGCACGTAGATCCGCCCGTCCAGGTCCATGACCACTGTGGGCACAGAGAGAGGCGGGCGCGTCAGCGACGTCAACACAGAGGAGTCAAACAAGGACGTCTGCCTTTCCAGCACAGACCCTGAAACCTACCGACTTCAGACGAAACACGCAGGAAGCATTAAACGACAACACTCCACGACGTGCAGCAGGGCGGACTTCATGAGAATTTAACACCCGTCAATTCGCTTATCCCTGATTCAATCTGGCTAGCCAGGTTAAGTTCAACTGGAAAAGGAGCTTCGCAGCAAACTAGTGAGCAAGTGAGTCTTACTGACAGTTTTGCTGCCCATTTCATTACGGGGAGGCATGATTATCATGGGGGCAGAGAGGGAAAGTGCAGGCTGATGCCTGTTTTAGCTGATTACTATACACTTGCGATCACTTACCAGGCAAAACAGTCAACAAGCTCATTTAAATTAATTTAAAGCCAACGCAGTGGTACTTTAATTATCGGGAGGGTTATTCGTGTTTTTTAACCATACAGACTATATACTGCGGTGCACTATATGACAGTATGGGGGTGGTCTTGGCGAGATGTGAATTTGGCCAATAGAGAGGATTCTGTGCACCGAACCCTCACGAATGTCGAGACCCTTCTGTGCTTCATCTCCTGATATTGCACTTCCAGCAGCAGCGCTGCCCGGACTCGGACTGCAGCCCGTCACAGCTGGTCCCCCCACCCTCCTGTCCCGGGGGGCGCCGGGGGGCTGTCTTACCTGGAGTGTGCGGGGCCAGGGGCCGGGGCAGGGGCTTGGTCAGGAGGTAGAAGTGCTCGCAGGCGTGCAGGGGCACCGACACGCTCTCCTCGCTGGCCTGGCCCAGCTCGTACGCCCACTGCCAACACAACACAGTCACCAGGCAGGCTGGCACAGGACACCCGCACCGCTACAACACGCACACACCGCTACAACACGCACACACCTGAATGACCTGCTTAAATAGCAGCATTTACAAATGGTTTCAGGATTTTAGCCCAGCATGACTCTGAGACCCATTGATTTTTCCCTGAACATTTAACGGTGCCTAAATATTTCTAGAAAATATTCTCATTTAACCTTCCTCAATAAAATGTCAAAAGCTCATTTATACAAGCAAGTACTACAGTACTTAGTGTGTTACATCATAAAAGTGGCCCAAACTACCAGATTTCTTCTGCAGTGGAGAAGCAAGTCTTGTTCCTTGCTTGTGAAACGACTGTAATTTGTGTTGGGGTAATTACTGCGATTTCCTTGCTCGAATACCCCAGCGTTTCGCTCCCGAGCCCGTGGAGCACATGCCGGAGTGCCCACGCATGCTGCCCTGCGAGCTGAAGGAGGCCCACCCACCTGCCCTGCGCAGTTCACGAAGTAATCGCACTCGATGGGCCCGCGGTCCGTCTCCACGCCGTGCACGTGGCCCTTCCGGACCAGCACGTGGTTCACACTGGTGCGCTCGTGGATCTGCACGCCTGTGAGACAGCGCGGGGAGGGGCAGGAGAGAGGTCAGAGCGCAGCGTCACCGGGGGGTCCAGTCTGCACAGAAGCACACAGGTGCTCCCGTGGGGTTTTCTTACTCTGCACTGTGGCTCTGGCGCCCTCCCTAGAGAAATAAGCCTATGCAAAGAGAAAAGATTACCCCAGAAATCCAAAACAAATGATCATCTTTAACCACTAAGGAACTCCCATGTGTCGGTGGCACAGGGGTGCAGTGGTTAACACTGCTGCCTCGCAGTGCTGGGGTCCTGGCTTCAATTCCAGACCTGGGGTGCCGTCTATGTAGAGTTTGTATGTTCTCCCCACATTTGTGTGGGTTTACTCCAGGTGCCACAGTTTCCTCCCACAGTCCGAAGACACATTGGTAGGTTAAGTGCCTTCTGGGACAACTGACCCGGGTGCGAGCGACCTGTGACCCCGAATTGGACAAAGCAGTTTGGCAAACGGATGGATGGAACTCCCATTTACTTGACAGTTCAGGTGAAGAGTCCCTTCCCACTCAAACTCACCATGCTGGGCAGAAGCCACCGCCAGGGCATGGTTCACATCAGGCGGCGAGACTACAGCGTCCCCGGGCACATGGACAGCCCCCACCAGGTCATGAATATTTACCAAGGGGTGGAGCGCCGACACCTGTTTGGGGGTGATGACATCACACTGGATCCCTATCACCCTGACAACAGGAAGAGGACACAGGTCTACAGATCCACCGAGACACAGAGCAGCAGCTTTCCTCTGACCTACACGGGCGTACAGAGTATCGGCCCCTCCCTGGATCTCTTCCACACTTGGCTGGGTTGCAACTTTAAGCTGCAACTCATTTGAACTTTTTTCTGCATAAATAGCAAAATATATGTAACATTTTGATGGGGCATAATCATCTTTATTGTAAAATAGTTTAAGGCGAAACAGAAACTGAAATATCCAGCTTGGAACAGTATTCACCGCCCTGAGACCTCGACCATTCAATTTTGAGTTGCTCCCCCTTTTGCAGCAATTACAGCCTCCAGTCCTCTGCAGTACATTGTAACCAGCTTTTCACATCTTGCAGGTTTGATTTTTCACCCACTCTTCCAGAGGAAATTCGCTCCAGCTGTTGCAGGTTACTGGGGGAGCACTGGTGTACAGAAGCCTTCAGTTCCTGCCACAGATTTTGTCTAGACCTTGACTGGGTCACTCAAAGACTCCCACCTACTTCTCTTCAAGCCAGTAAGGGGTTGCTTTGTGTTTATCCTGCTGAAATACGAATCTCCTGATGAGCAACCCACGCCATTAGTCGGCAAACACCATGCTTTAATGTGCAGATAGCGATTTGTGAGTGAGGAGTAGTTCTCTTCTTTCTCCAGGCACAACACTCGGTATCGAGGCCAACGAACCCAATTTTTCATCACATTTTTTTCCACATCAATGCCGGAAAAAAGCCGACAGGCACGCCAGGAGTACTCACTTGAGGCGGGAGGCCAGGCGTTTCAGCGAGATGAGGCGGTCCTGATTCTGGGCCAGGCAGAGAGACCCTGTCCTCACGTACCCTGGAGAGGACAAAGGGACGTCATTCCTCCAGCCCAGCAGAGCCTCCAGCGGCACAGAGGAACTCCGCCAGTCACTGCGTTAGGTTATTCCACAAACACCAAGAGTGAGAAAACTCGGGCTCCAGGAAATAATGCATGGCTCTTATTCAAACAGTCCAGACCACTGGTCTTCAACGCTGAATTAGGGCTTTAAAGTGAAAAGTACTTAAAATCCATGTTGTAACGAAAGGTCTCAAGAAGGTTAAAATCAATTCATTTTTTTCTGCTTTGCAAAGAGGGTATTTCCGAGATGCCATATGGATCTGGACACCTCCCCCTACCCAATTATAAGCTGATGATGGGTTATGGACTATTGTGTTCTAAACGCGCACTGTCACATTAAGAACTCCTGCTGACAGACTGTGAGTCGTGTCAGTGCCGAGACCGGACTCGGCAGCACCTACCAGTCTTCACCCCAGTCTCCGCCTCCAGCTGCTGGTAGAGCCTGTTGGAATAGTCTGCCATCCGGCTCTCGACGAACATGTGCTTGACGGTGCTGACGATGCCCGCACACAGCCGTGTGGTCCCCGCGCCCAGCCTGGCACACACAAGACGGATAAGATCACGTTATTGGCCCTATACAATTTCCTTTATCAAGAATTTGTCTTTTTGCAGACCCCAGCTTGCTCTCCATGAGACACACAGACCGGGAGAGAAGCTGGGGGTCAGATCGCAGGGTCAGCCATCTATACGGCACCCCTGGAGCAGCTGGGGTGAAGGGCCTTGTTCAGGGGCCCAACGGAGTAGGGATTCCTCTACCGGCTGCGGGATCCGAACCGGCAACCTTCCAGCCACAGGCGCAGATCCTGAGCCACTGAGCCAACGCTCCGCCAGAGGAGAATACGCAGACAAGAGGCTACTCTGACAGCCTGGACCCCACTGTGGAGCTGAGAGTTAGAGGGCTGCTCTGCCTGTGTAACGCACACACAAGAGTCAAGTCCTCGGCTCTTTTCCTGGTGCGTTTGTAGTGCATCTGTAGTCTTCAAAACTCAAGGTGCTCACTTTTGTTGCAATGTGAGCTCTGGATTCTGCAACTGCAGAATTCACAGTGAACAACAAGCCCTTTACCATAGCAAGAGAGAGGCAGACTTCCACTGCAGAGCAGAGAGATCTAATTCAGATTTTAAAGATGCAAATTCCTCCTTATCTGCAGATAACACGTGTTGGATACATGAACTAATTTTTCATTCTTGGACATAGGACATTTAAATAGGTTTGCTTTTCATCTGTAAAACTTCTACATCTCCACCTGGTCCCTTTCACATGTACAGGAGGACATTTTTGATAAAGGCTGTTTTACTTGTGCCTCTGTAAACATGCAATGACACATTATGGAATTATGGAATTATGGAATAAGATTACAGGTATTCGGGGAGAACACAGAGACCTCAGAAGTATTTACACCTACACAAATAAATCCTGTTAATTTAGACAGCATTTTCATCCCAAAACACAGGACAGAGCCCACTTCATCCACTACGCCTGTGATCAGGAGTGTTACCTCACTAACTGAATTAAGGGAGAAAGACTGTGCAATCCCAAACCTGAAGTCCAGCTACCGTTCTTACTCTCATCAGCAGTGCCAGGGAATCTTTAATGGCCAAGTAGCAGCAATGTACTGCGCCTCCAAACGCACATCGTCTCTCCCCCTTCTCCATACTGGGGCGCTGGTTTGGAAACTCGGGGTTCACAGGACGGAACACCACCCGTCGAGGTCTCCCCGCAAGCAGGTCAAAGGTGGCGGCGGAGCTTACCTGCCCTGCTCCAGCAGCACCACGTCCTTCCAGCCCAGCTTGGCCAGGTGATAGGCCACCGACATGCCCACGATGCCCCCTCCGCAAATGACCACGCGGGCCTGGGAGGGCAGGGGGGTGGGGTGCGACTCCCCCGCGGAGGCCAGGCTCCTAGGAGACCCCCATCGGCGCCGCACGCCGAGCAGCAGCTGGGGGAACAGGGCGGAGGACAGCAGGGCCCCCGAGCTGCGCGCACCCCCGCGCATGGCGCCGCCACCTGCAGGGGCAGACACACGCAGTCAGCCCTCCGCGCAGCGGGCACAGGAGCACGAAACCTGTACCTCCGAGATCCGCTCTCGGAGATCAGGCCTTCTGTGCCTTTGCAGGTAGTTAGGCTCTTGCAAAACACACTGCGTGCCGTGCGGTCCTCCACAGCTCACCAGCCTGAATTAAATCCCAAGCACCGACCTCCGCTTGGAGGCAGAAGGAAAAACAAACCTGCGTCGCGTTCGCCCTTGCGAGTGAAGCCTCCCAGGATCTGAGTAGTATCCCCGGCCCTACTACAATGACAAGCGGCGCAGCAGGGGGGCGGGCCGCCCGGCGGGCGGTGACCCTGTGCCACACGGGCGGCACGTAGCGCAGGCAGCCCGGCCCGGAGCCCGGAGCCCGCCCCGCCCGCGCACTCCCCTGCCACAGGCGTCTTCTGGGCAGCTGGAGTCATCACTTACCAGCTGAGAGAGCCGAGGTGCGCCGCTATCGCAGCCAGGGTGAATCCCCTCTTTGTCCCCCGACGAAACTCCAGAGAACCCCCCCCCGCCGCTCGCTGACCCGTTCAACCCGAGCTCCGTGCCTTGTACCGGCGCTCAGCTCGCACCTGTTGGCAATCTCTGAGGCAGCCCCAGCCGCCGGCCTTCCCTGCTCTCTTCTCCTTTCCCAGACAGCTTCCGCGCTGCTGCCTGCCTGCCTGCCCCGCACGTCCTCACGAAAGCACCGCGACCCGCCGCGTCCCCCAGGGCAGCCAGGCGGCACTCGGACTAACCCGTCTTCCCTCTACGTCCGGGCCTAAATCCGGGAGTTAAATCCCCGGACCTCGCTTCTAATCCCGGAGCTCAAGAGCATTTGCAGGATCGACGCGGTCAAACGAAGCTCTACTGCGGAGTGACCTGGGGGGGGAGAACCCGTGCGCGGCGCGTCACGCCTCTGCGTGGACTACAACTCTGCGCCGTGACGTCACGACGAGCGTGGCCAATGGGCGGGCAGCACGGTGCCACACCCTCCTCTGCTCCCCAGCTCCTCCACTCACGCCCGTCGACACATGATATTGTTTTCAAAACATCACCCAGGCAGCACTAACTTTTGTTATCGAGGTGAAAGGGTATACTATACCGTTCCTCTTGCCTAAGACCAGAGGCGCGCAATAACATTTCCCGGCTATTTAGGTCTAAATTAATTTCCCTTTTAAATAATGTTCACCATTTGGGCGGCGTGAGTACATGACCGGAGACAGTAATTTTTTAAAAGTTTTAATTTGTGAAGTGCACCGAGTGCTGCCCGTTTCTAAAAAATAAATAAAATAAAACATCTCACCAGCTCGAAACTTTGGAGGTTTGGGGGGGGTCGGGTGTATCTGAAGAAGGCCGTGGCGTGTCGTTGAGGTTTCTGCAGCACTCTTTTGCTGGATGTTGTTGCCTTGCTCTTGGTGTCCCTTCCTAGGCGATGTGTCCTAGGTGGAGCTGTGCCGTAGAAGGTCATCTGACCGCAGCAGGCGCTAGTGGGTACTGACTGTCCTCCCTCTCCAAATATCATTGCTCTCAAAAACAACTAAAAGTTGTCGACCACTAAAGGCAGGGGTCTTTGTTTTTGAATAAAGTCCAAAGGCAAGGGGTGGTTTTATCAATTACACTGTCCTTGGTGGGTTTGTTTTTCATTCTTTGGTGTAGAAAAGCCCGTCATTAAAGAACTGTCCCGACGCGAACTCACTTCAAATGGTCTCCAAAACAAATTCGGGCAAAGCTTAATTTAAACACGTGTGTGTGTGTGTGGTGATTAAACTATAGATAATTCTCCTGGTTATTGACGGAATCTTCAGATACTGCGGGATTTGGACTGACGCAATTAAGAGTCCAGAGCTTCGCCGCCACAAGCGCTCGGTACCTCAGAGCTGGGTGCTGTATCTGTTGGAACAGGCCAGAGCCTTAACTACTGAATCCTCTTTTAAAATATTTACAATGGGAAGAGCACCAGCAATTTCTTTCAGTGATGTTGGCCAAATAATGTACCAGTATGTCTTTGGACTCTGGGAGGAAACTCCTGGGAACGTAGAGAGACCGTACCAACTCCACAAAGATCAAACCCCACTGCACCTCAAGTTCATAAATCTCACCATGACCCAGAATCCCAGAGGCTGTTCTAGAAGGGCCACTTATTCTCAAGCACGATTTCAGGTTGCGAATAGGGGAAGATCCCTTAACCCATCGTGGTAGCTTTGGTTGCTACAAACTACCCACTTATGGATTTTCCTTCCACTTGTTCCAGTTCAAGGTTGCAGGAGAGCTGCAGCCTATATGGAAATGCAATGGGCACAACATGAAGTCTCATCCCGTGGTTTTCCAGAGGAACCTGTTGGTTCAGCTCCAAAAGCACGACTTGACAGCGTGTTGCAGACACCTCACTGTCATCTCCTCCCCATTCATATGTTCTGCAAGAACAATAGCTTGAAAACCATTGAACGGACATGCTCAATTTGCAGTTGTGAAAGTTGTGATCCTGCCCGCGCACACACTTATAACAGTCCAAAGGCACATGAGCTTCATGTTAAAACTAAACAGGTGTTCAACACTGATCAGCTGTACAAAGTGCCTGATTTGCAAAGACCCATGCAAGCATGTCACAGTGTGATCAGCTCAATTACAAATTGGTGTTTGTGGATTTCTAGAACATTAAAGCCCGTTAAGTCAGCCAGCTGTAGATGCTGGAGTGTCCAAGAGTTTTCCCCAAAGCACAGTTCCTGCCACAGTCCACTGGATTCCACTCAACCATCTGGTCAGGGAGAATCACGTTACATCTCGGAGGCATGTTGTGCCATTGGTCAAAATGAACAAAGCCACCCGGAGCCAAGATGTAAAAACCTGCAGACCATTTTATTAATAAATTGTCCCATTTCATCTGTACAGAACCAAATAAAGAAATAAAAACATTTTAAAAATGCACATGATGTTATTAGTCTGTCACATCTCAATATTACATGGCATAATCAGAAAAAACAATGAACAGCACATCCATGACTATACACAGAAAAATAATTACAAAACTGCTTTATTTTAATTTTAGCAAATTTCACTTCAAACGGACAATAGACTAACTACTGATCTGTTAAATGACAGATGGTATTCAACGCCGTCTGTACAGGAGGGGAAAGGAAGGCTGTGTGAAGCAGTGCTGCTTGTCTCTTTGGACAAGAAGTTCCTGGGTTCCAAGTCATTTCCTTTAACACTTCCTACCCACAATTCCCACTCCGCTGCCCCTCAGTCCCCTCAAGCCCCACCGCCGGAACAGCTGAACCCTACTAGAAAACAGCGGAGGAATCCTGGGGCGGGGTTGTTTCTCAGTGTCTGGTCACAGATCTTGGGCAGCAGATGGAAAAGACCAGAATCTTGGGTGATTTCCGGTCCAGAGAGGCAGAAATACAGAGGTCAGGGAGAGGGAAGGACAAGAGTGTGCTGGCTAGTCAGTTGAGAAAAAAATCTCAATCCCACTGAAAAAAATTGAAAGCAAATCTCTAAAGGCCCCAAAGTTTGCTACTTTAATACACTTGTAACAAGAGAAATGACCAAAGGTCAAAAGGGTTAGTCTTTAAACACAACTCCCTTAAGAAACAGTGTACAAAGTCATTACCAAACCTTCCTCCACCACCTTTAATATCAGCGTGACCTTCACATTCGTTTGTGTGCCAGCCTGACCCCCCGTGAGCCACCAGCTGGAAACCTCCAGCCAAGTTTAAACCTTTCCCCTCAGTGAAAACCGGGCTCTGGCAACTCCTCTAGGTTGAGCTTGGATGTGAAGAGGTCCCCAAAGTTGTCCACTGCAAAGGTAACGCATCCGCTACAGAGCAACTGGACACCAGTGAAAGCCCAATACTATACAACTGCAAGATCAACTCAATAAGGGCACACAGTCTAATGGTAGTAAAGAAGAAATATTATACTTTAGGTCAACAATTGTTTTATTCTTCAGCTCTCAAAGTGGCCCCCTGAGAAGTAAAACAAAACCCCCTTCCTTCTCCATACAGTTCAGTTTACAGGACCATACAGAGACATTACTACAGGAGCTCTGCACCTGCTGCAGCAGTCCTGTATCCTGTGGAAAACCACCCAGACCCCATGGTTTTTATATGTGCGAGCAGTCTGCCACAGCAAACACTTTAGAAGTTATGAAAAACTGCACGAATGTTTGGAATGCAGAGCATTCACTTTTACTTGGCAAATATTGGCAGTTGAGTGAAATTAGCAACATACTCCTTCTGTAGGAGCAGCCAGGAGTTTCAGTCCACACCAGGCTTGTGCCATAAGTGTACCATGGTGGACCAGGTTTAAACAAAAGGAGTGGGGAAACAGTTGTACTAATGGGTCCATTTTTAGGTAATCAGAATGAAAACATTAACAGTCTTGCCATGTGCAGGTACTTCAATGTCTAACCATTCCCAGACAGCTGGACAATTGAGACGGGAATCCTCCAGAAGACTGGGACACAGGCCAAACAGATCATAATGCCAATAGTTACAGTTCTTCTGCTCCTATCAACTCCTCCCCAGAAACACTTACACTTTACATGAGGAGACTGTTATGCTGAGTTAACAAGGATAAGATTTTAAAAAAGTCAACACTGATGTGCCATCCAAATCAAAGCTGCAAGGAATTTAGAACACCGAGGAGCTGAACATGTAAAAGGAATTCTTGTTTAAAAACGTGGAGCGCTGCCTAAGTACCAACTAAGTGTTACAGCATACTTTCAGCACTCTTGGGTTTCAATTGCCATATTCAGACCTCATTTCCCAACTTTATCAATGAGGGAGAGAGGAACAGTACATGCAGGAATCCAGCCTCTTTCCCAATACTGATAACTAGAAGGGGGAGGGAACAAGAGACCGATTACCATGGAAACTTAAGCAGCATAATAGTAACCATGGAGACCGTCTCTCTCTCATGTGAGTCAACACTACAAAGACTGTTCTCCACTAATCCAGTCACAAAAGAAGGGGCCTGCAGGAGAGGAGTACCAACCCAGGAACAAAAATACTGACCCTAAGACAGTGACAAGCGCACACCGAGAAAAAGTAGGTTCGGGCTCTGGCAACGCCTGGCTTTATCCCCTAACCAGCACACCCCTGGGACATCAGGCACCCTCCCTGGGTTATTTCTAAAAAGAACAGTCACCTCTCCTGCCCGGCCACCTCACACCCGTCTCCGAACCGGAGGGGCAGAGCTTGGCGCCGCAGAGAGAAAGAGAAGGCAACTAGAGAACAAGCAAAAAAGAAAACCAAATCAATAGCAAAACAATAAATAAGGCTATGACTGAACAAAATATTAAAAATGTGCAATGATTCCATTAGCATCCAAAAAATGCTTTGATTTTAAATGTACACTTTCCCCACACAGCTGCTTCTTGTTCATTTTTCTTGAGATACTGGGCATCTTTCCTAAAAAGGTATTTCTGCAGTTGAAATAAAGATAACCACATATCCTTGTGAAATGGGGTAGGGGCAAAAAAAACAAGTTGAGAGGGTAGGGTGATTTCTGTTTCATGCAGGAACTACCCCCACATGAAGACTGGAAGATTGCATCTCCACAAGAGGTCACAATACATTGCAGGGATATAAAACAGCTGTTGACAGCGATATTACTTCCAAGCTCTGTAATAATTCTGCTTGTGCAGCAGCCCCTGGGATGTCCCTGATCAGGCAGGGAATCCGTCACCCAGGCCGCCACAGGAAATGCATAACTGATACTGCAGTAATGCAAAAACCCTCAGCACACCAAGGGTGCAACCCTTCTGCACATTTTTCCAGATAAAGAAAAGAAATGAAGCAAATACAGAAAGGTTTTCAAACCAGTTGGGTCACCTTCCACTGTGCAAAAAAAAGTCCATCTCTCCACTACAAAGTCAAGTCTGGCACAAGTGTCCGGGTGATCACACTGGAAACGCCAGCCTTTGCTTGAAAACCAGAGTAGCTCCACTCTCGCGCTGCTTTGGAGTCAAAAAGTTACTTTGGGGAACAACCTTGACCTTTTTTACTTAGGGGCCATGAAGGTGCAACAGTATAGCCCTTTCGTCTTTCCCCAAACAGGAGGACGTTCCCTCAGAAGTTAAGGGGGCAACCAAACATTCCAACCCCCCCAACTCCTGAATAAGAGCTCTTATCCACTTAGTGGCTACCAAGAAACGAGAAAGAGGCAACCAAACAGGACTGGGCTATCAGATGTGTTTTGTTTTTATTGGAACAGCCGGTCTGCAGGACCTTTGGCCAACCCTGGTTTCCAAAACAGAAATCCACCCACAGACCATCACAGGCTCAGATGAGCGCAGTCGTACTCCCAACAACAACGAAAACACAACAGTCCCTGGCAGGCAAGTGGGAGAGGGGCCGGGGGGGCAGGGGGTGATACAATATCAGTGATCGATTCAATCAAATCTCGACTTCTTTTTACAAGTCATACCCTGAAGCCAGATAGCAGAAAAGCTATGGTCTTTTCTTCCCAACGAAGTCAACAAAAAAAGTCTCAACCTTCCCAAAAAATCTGAAGCCCTTGTTTTGGCCCAGGACATCACACCACTGAGAAGGGGGGGGTGATTGTGCACAATAGTTGCACCAAAGCTGCTGTGTGAGAGTCCCCTGGCCCCTGCCCCCCCCCTCCCAAAAAATGAAGAAAATTTGGCATGGGAAGACAAAAAAATACAAATCAAAACAGTCTACATGCAAAATGATGCTTAAAAAAAAAAGTCTCATCTGTCATGAACTGAACATGAACTGCTTGAGTCTGTGGAGACCGGGGGGAAGGAGCGACTCAGATACACGCAATACAGGAGGAAGATGGGGCTACAGGTCACTACAGAAGCCTCCTAAGAGGCCAGACAGGAAGCAGCCTGCCCCTGGAGTAAGGTGGGGGGGGGGGGGGTGGTCCGGCTTCGCTGTCGGAGAAGAGGGGATGGGAACTGGAGGCCCCAGCCTGGCCATCAGAGGGCGCCGCTGGGCTTTAGCTTGCATGGTGGTCTTCCAGGCTGGGACGGGCAGAGGTGAGGGAGGGTGGGATGGCGAAGAGAACGGCCACTGGGAGCCCCTCCGACTCCCTCTACCTGTCCTTGAGTTCCCGCGTCACGCGCTTGGTGATGCGGCCACACAGCAAGCCCACCAGGAAGAGAACGCACACCCCCAGCGCGATCATGAACAGGATGTAGTTCTTGGAGGGCGAGATCATCACCTGCATGGCCAAGTCTGAGAAGCCCTCTGCTGGAGCCACCTAGGAAAACACATCCCAAGGAACGACAGCAGGAAAAAGGAGAGCAGGTCAGGAGGAGGGGGAAACTGTTAAGAGGCGGGCCAGGCTCGAGAGCTTGCAGCACCCACCTTGGCAGCGTAACTCCACATCTCGATCCGGTCCTGCAGTCTCTTCTTGCACTCCGGCTGCAGGCGAACCCGCTTGTCATTCAGGGCCTCCATCAGACACGACATCTCTGAGAGAGACCGAGAGACGGGCTGAGGCCAGCGTCCTGCTGTAGGTCCCCCGTACAGCCCGAGCTGCACCTTTTAAACACTCATGTCAAAGTTTCCCCTTCACAGCACCCAAATACCACTGCAGGTCTGGCAGAACTTGCTTCTCAATTATGGGCTTTACACGAGCTTTTGGAGAAACTCGGCACCCATCATCTGACTGCACGATGTGTGACCATACCTCGGCCGAGCCAATCCAACTGTCCCTTAGGTCAGGATTAGGCAACGCTGTGCTTCAAAGCTGTGGGCTTTCTGGAACCGATTTAGTAAAGAAGCCACGTTACCCATTTTATTATGCCTAAGTGTATAAATCGTAAACCGAGCCCTGGCGTGACGTGCTGAACCCAACAGGGGGCAGGAGCGGCGGCGGCACTCACGGCGGCCTCGGCCAGGGGGGATGGCGGCGCAGTGATGCTTGATGTCCAGGGCGCAGGCCGTGTGCAGGACGGGGTCCACGAATATGTCCGCCTTGCTCTCCTTCAACATGTTCAAGACCTCCTGCAGAGAGAGGGGCAGCCGTCAGAGGGGTGATCTTTCACTGGTGAGGGAACAATCAGTCTTTGCCAACAGGACAATGCGTCTGCCTGCAAACTTTAGTCTAGGTACTGGAGAAGGGCAGAAGAGCACTAGTCCCCCACCTCTGTCCCTCGTCCAACCACTGCACACTGGGCTTCGGTACCGAGCCGGTGAATGGCAATGCTCAGGATACCTGCAGCATGCACTTCGATGTTAAGTGTAGTGTAGCGAAGGGGGGCTGTTATCAAGGACACAACGGGGCAACAGAATGACGCCGAACAGTCACAAGCATATTGAAGCGGGATGGGGGACCAGCAGTGTCTCACCTTCTTGCAGGGCTCATACTTGATCTTGAGCAGGTTGATCTTGAGACACTCCTCCACCTGGCCAGTCTGCTCCTGAGCTGCTGCCTCCTCGGAGCACAGCCGGGAGATCTGAGGAAACAGAAACCAGAACCGTCGTCGCCCTCCACTGAGCCAGCCCCCTTCTCTCACCTGTATTAACTGCAGCAGTACACGCAAGCAAATAAGTGATACTAAGAACGTCTTCCCCAAGCCTGGGTAAAACTGGGGATTGATTTAGTGTCATTGATTTGATGAGAATCCTCATTGAAACAGACGCTCAGGCGAATTGTTAGTAACTGAGCCTCCTCGTGTTTGTAACCTTAGTGATCTCAAATGCTCAGAGAACTCCGGATGTTCACTTTACAGAACTGCTTCTGTTGTGTTGGCATTCTTCCAACATGTAACCTAGTCCATACTTTGATCACACCATCCAAAACCCATTTATGTATTAAGAGTCACCTAAGGACAGAGACCCCAACTGTGTCTGATTAGACATAGGGAACCACAGCAGCTTGTGTTATGACCTTAGATGACCTTTCCTAATATAAATGAAGCGATCACTCTCCCGAGAGAAGCTGGCAGGGCTCCGACACCAGACATTTCTGTGCAAACACACAAGGTCTGTGTAGCAGCTACAGGTGAGCTTGTATACCTTCAGACAACGTGGACTAGATGCTACTTCCCTGCTGCAGCTCTAGGTTAAACTGCTGCCCGACCACAGTCGTCATGGTGAGACGGTCCCGGCGGTCAGCGGGCGGTCCAGAGCACCCAGCCTCACCTCGTCAGTGCAGTGCACCTGCAGCTGGGGGTCCAGCCTGTAGTCCAGCGCCGACTCCTGCAGGATGACCCTGATCTGGTCCTCGCAGTCAGGGGAGAGGCGCTGCGGGGGCAAAAGGCACAGCCGGCCATCACAAACAGCACAGCCGGCCCTCAAGAGCACAAAGCCCTGCAGACATTCCTTCCCTTGGGAAGTACGGCAAACGCTGTACATTGGAGGGTGAGGGGACAGCAGCAGATCAAAAGACCAAATCTGCAAACCATTTAGCTATGGATAAATTGTTATTGCAGTTAAGTCATGTCAGAGGCCCATCCATAGCCCTCGATGTGTTTTAAGTTGCAGCCCAGCTCTGGACACAGCTGGAGGATGGCTTCCAACAGGGGCTCTACGAGTGGGAAGAGAAGCGATGTTGGCCAGCTGGGCCAGGCCCCTCACCTGGTCAGCGTACTTGAGCTTGAGACAGGAGATGACCTGGCCCTCCAGCTCGCTGTCGTCGTGGGCTTTGGTCAGGATGCTCTGGCAGAACTTGGGGATGTCGGCCTTGCAGGCCTTCCGCAGCACAGGATTCAGGCGGTAATCTGGAAAAGCGACAGACACAGGCGGCTGACGCGTCTCGCTGCAAAACGAGCGGCTCCTAACGGGGGGAGCGAGCGAGCGTGGCGGTACCTGTGTTCTGGGTGATCTGCCGCTTGGTAATCATCTGCTTGCACTTGGGGTCCATCAGCTCGCTGTTCTTGTTCTGCTTCAGGCACTGCAGCACGTTCTTCGTGTCGGCATCAGTGCAGAAGCGCTGGACGGCGAAAGAGAAACCCATTAGCACAGCGAGAGGGAGCCCACTGGAACCTCTTGTAGAACTAGAAGACGAAGTGATGAAAGGACACCAGGGCACATGAAGAGTTGAGCCTGGCTCACCTTGATCATCTGCTTGCACACCCGCATGAGAGTGTAGTCAAGCTCGGGGTCCATCATCTCCACCTCCTGCAACCTGAACACCTTCTGGTGGCAGCGAGATGTCAGCTGCTTCTTGTTCTCTTTCAGGCACTCGATCACCTGGGGGACGGAAGAGCCAGAGAACAGTCTTTCCAGCATTTTACCAACCAGGCTGCGTGCCTGCTCTCCCTTGACCAAGCAGCGCTTTGCCACTTGCCTCTAAATAACTGGCATGTGCAGAGCTATACAACCTGGGTCACCTGCATCCATGCCAAACCATGGCCGGATATTGACTAGAGTTCCCTTCATTTAATTGAACCCCTTCTGATGAAAATCCTACACGTTGTAAAGGATAAGTTAAAACATATAAGCGAATGGAAGCTACAAAAGCACAGATCACCAATAAAAGCAGGGCACACCGAGACTACGAAACTTGTCATTTGTGAATTATCAGACTATCTTAATTCCAGTCCACACTGCATCAGAAACCATCATGAAGGAAATGTAATGCAAGTAAGTATTGTCCTACCTGGGCATTGCCAAAGGCCACATTTTGGCAGTACTTCCCAATGTCCTGCTTGCAGGATTCATACAATTCAGGCTCCAGGCGAATATCTTCGGTCTGCAGAGAACAAGCAAATTCTATAAAAATACTAAATCAACCCACTAAGGCTGAAACCAAACCATCTACTGGTCCTTTGGAAACCATCGCAAAGCTGGGCTGCTGATCAATGACAAAACAGTTTGTCAGCATGCAGAAACCTAAATCTGTAGCTCTCAGAAGCAGACATTCATCATGAAAAAGGAGGGCAGGTTTCTAATCAAGTTAGATGACTGGTAAAACATTAACAGCGGGAAAAAAAATGCATACAATATGTGCGAACCAAATATCTATTCATAAGCCTGTGACTTTGTAGGAAACTGAATTGCCCAGTACCGTTAATTAGACACTGCAGGTCACTGCCATGCCATCTCAGAAGAGCGTGCAGACACTAATGGACCACCAACAAACCATGAATAACCAATAACAATGTTTAATTTAAGGGTGATCTAATTTTTTAACGAGGCGCATAGAATTTTAGGGCTTGACTAAAATGAGCGATGGACGATAATTTCCATCAGTCTATGTATTAGGAAACACGTAGGACTCTCTGGGATATTGCTCAAGGATGGCCTTTTCCCTTCTCTCCCATTAGAGAAGCCGGAATCGCTGCGGCGCGCCTGGCTGTGCTCCACCTGCCCAAGCCCCCCCAGCGCCTCACCATCTCCAGCTCCTCCACGCGCAGCTGCTTGCGGCACTTGAGGGAGACGCGCTGCTCCTTGACGTCCTGCAGGGTGTCGTTCCGCACGGTGGTGCTCAGGCAGATCACCACGTCCACTCTGCACGGAGAGAGAGAGAGCGCGCACACCCACGTCAGACACGCCACCCACACCAATCACACCGCATCACCCAGACCGCCCCCCTGAAAGACAGGTAGCAGCGCCACTCCTGGGGAGTCACTGCCATTGCAGGGTTGGCCATCACCAAGTAACCAGTGACAATCTCACAACATTCGCTACTTGAGCGTGCATTTAAAGCACTCCTGTGGTCTGGAAACCGACTTTGGAATAACAACATCTGGCGTTATAACATCACACCACGTTAATCTATTTAGTTTTGTCCTCCCCTATAACTGCTGTTGCTGCTGTGCCAAACTGGACTAACACTGGGAAACGTCAAATAAGACATCACACACAAGAGAACTGCTTTCCCATTAAGTAAGAGGGGAAAAGCAGGCTAGACAACCCCAGCAGCCCACTTACTTCTTTTTTATGTTGGGACACAGTTTGAGTACATCTTCCTTACACGCCATCTTGAACTTGTAGGAGAAACGGAAATCCTTCATCTGAATCTGCACAGGGAAGAGAAACAGAAGGGCAGTAGGGTCAACAGCGCAGCACTATTGTGTGGCGAGACTACAACCGCAGGAACAAAGGAGGTCCAACGAACAGGACTATACGGCCTGGAGACCCTCATCTGGATATAGCTGAAGACGGGGAACGATAATCACTATTATCCTTTGTCTTCAAAGGACAGTGCTTTATTTCCCCACAACAACCTCAAATTGCAGCACAGTACGATCATTTTAGAGCAATAAGCCCATTTCAAAGAAGGGCTCATAATGTGAATTCTGCATAAGCAGATAGTAACAGGTTAAGACAACCAAATGAAGTAAACTAAAGTTATGTGAAAACTCCCGATCCTTATAATACAGGTAGCTTATCAAGGCAGACTTACAAGACTACTGCGAGACACCTCCTTCCTTAAGACACGAAGGAAGCAGGTGCACATACACAAAGGGAAACTGACAAATCTATCTGCTTCCACTCGTGCTTCTGATGAGACTCAGACACGTCACCCCACAGATCTGCTCAGCCTTACCAGCTGGAAGTGGGTGACTCCCACAATGCACTTCTCATTCATCTCCTTCTGATGCTTGTTCTGCACCAGGCACTCCATCAGGTCGCCTGTGTCGATCTGATTATCAGCCACCTCCTGGGAGACACAAGCAGAAGAACGGCACAGTGTTTGCAGAGTCAGCAGACAGTGCCCAGGCGCCCAAGTGGCAGCTGGGTGGAGGTTGTTGAAACAGGAGGGGCACACTCACATGGCAGTAGGTCTGGATGACCGGTTCACAGGCTCTGATCAGCAGGGCCTCGATCTGGATGTCCTGTTGGCAGCAAGAGGTGTCACTACCAGAACGCAGCTAGGTAATAAGTGCGGTGGTATTTTAACTCTGCTCTTAACACATCTTTCCTGAAATTTTTAATATTAATGAGGGGTCAGACATTTCGATCACAAAACTCCTAGGAACGAGAAAGCTAAAACAGCATTAAAGGTTGTATTTTGTGCTGCAATACTAAAAGAAGTGGACATGCATGGTATACCAAGCTCTGAGAATTACTGGACAGAAAGTCTCCATCATGCAAGATGGCCTGCACAGTCACCCATTATAAATCCCCCTGACAGCAGATCTACAGACACCAGTGCCCTCCTGCAGCCCCACCTCGGACTCCAGCTCCGTGAGGTTGCCCACCACATCCCGGCACTCAGCCATCAGGTCCTCCAGGTGGTCCTGCAGACACTCCAGCTCCTGGGGCAGACGGGACACGAGTCATCCACCTGCACACTCCTTCTGCTGCACCACACCGCCCGCCCCTATACTCTGTTACCTGTCCGACAGCAGCCTGCACCCCCCCGCGCCCCTATACTCATGTACCAGACCCCCCCTCCACCGCACCCCTGTACTCTGGTACCTGACCAACAGTGGCGTGCACCCCCCCTGCTGTACTCCGGTACCGCGTCCCCCCCGTGCCCCTGGACCCCAGTACCTGGCCCGTCTCCGTCTTCTCGCTGCACCACTTGCCCAGGTCCGTCATGCAGCGCTCCTGCAGCGCGGGGTCCAGCTTGACGTCCAGGGCGCGCTGGTGCAGGATCCGCTGGACCTCGGCCTTGCAGTCGCGGGACAGCTGGCAGCAACAAGGGGGGCAGCCGTCAGCATGGGGCACAGACAGAGCAGGCACACAGTGAAGCCATCCTGCTGGCCATGTCTGCGCTTCCTAATGCTTATGTATACAGGGAGGGCATCAAAGAACTGGTCCTTAAACAAACTATTCCTGGTGCACAAACAAACCATTCCTGCAGGTGTTAAACAAATACTTGCGTTGTAAACCTGCCAATAGACTGACTTGATATGACCTCCTCTGAGCCTAATCCAAATGTGCATTTCACCCCCACTCGGCTACCGCTCTGGTCCCCTGGGAAACGTGTCCCCTGTGAAGCCATGTGCCAACAGACAAAAACACAAAGCCACGTGTGCACACGGAGAGCCACGCACATGTGGAGGAACACGGGAAAGGTGGACAGAAGCCACTTTAAATCCAAAGCCCAGCCCTGGGGGAAAAATGGATACATTTTCACCAAGAGGACTGGACCGCAGTGGCTCTCTCACTCCGCACGCGCAGGTGTGACTTATGACCGATATTTTTCTCTAGGACGGATACGGGGACGAGCCAGAGGGATGCGCGGGGCCCGTTGAACACGCTACAGCTCCGGGCGCCGTACCCGCCTGCCCTGCTCCTCTGTGCGGTAGGCATGGCGGTAGAGGCAGGAGAAGATGGCGCCGGGTGGCATCATCTCGTTGGTCTCGTTCCAGCCGTGGGTGTGGCACAGGCGGGCGGCGTCGCCTTGGCACTTCTTGTAAAGGATGGGGTCCAGCCTAGTGCAGACAGGGAAGTTAAACGTGCAGATTGGCCACACAGTACACCACAGTGTACCACCTGCACCACCAGCACACTGGAGAATACACAGCGCTGCAAAGCATCGTGGGCAGCCTGGACTAGGTGGAGACTAACAGGCCTTAAAAACGTGCCTTTTCGCCCGACATGGAAATCTCAACACAAGCCCTGTAGAAACTGCTGAGAGCAAGCTATCAAAGAACCTCGGCTTTACAAGTCATGTTTAGAGCAACTCCACATCATGGGCTTTTTTTTTTTTAAAGCGAGACAATTTAGTTTTACATACAAAACTAGAGACAGCAAGACTGCACATCACAATCGGAGGACACTGTGTGGGTAGTCACAGGCCTATCGCCTGTTATTAGCCTGGCTAGAGAGAAGGAAACAAATCTCTCGTTTTCATATTCATCACCAACCCAAGGATTAAGAAAATCTTTTGCAACCACTCCGCCAACCACAAGTTTTCTAGCTCTTCACAGAGCAAGTAGAAGGAGGCACTATTTGAGCGAGCGAAGAGGAATCTGAAGCAACCCACGTCCCGAGAGCAGCTGTGCAAGACGGCGTCGCGACCTCCAGTCCCCTTGCTGCCAGTGAGCCCGGGGAAGCGGAGGGCAGAGCAGGGAGGAGACACTCACTTCCAGTCCCGCGAGATGAAGTACTGGAGCTCCAGCAGCCGGTGCTCACAGTCCTCCACCATCTTCTCCGTGTAGAGATGCTCCATCAGACAGGACAGGATCCTGTGGGCCAGAGATTCGAGTGGTCAGCAGACAAAGCAGAGCCAACTCTCCCTCGCACTGCTGGCTCCAGCTGGCCAGAGCCGTAGATTCAGGCAACACGTAGGGTAACCCAAGATCTTCGACACGACAACGATACAAAGTCACCCAAAATAAGACTTAAGTCTCCTCTCACCGTGCATATCTTGTGTATTTTTTTATGTCATTCTGCAAAGCACTTTGAGAAGCCACCTTTAAAAAAGTGCTATATAATAACGTTTTTTTTTATTATTTTGGAACATCTGACAAACCACACTTGGGAAGACTGATTAAAACCTCAGGGCTCTTTTACAGAGTTCTAAAATGTGCTGCTAGCAGTTCTAATTAGCAGCCAGCAACAGCAGCAGCAAACAGACGGTGGTGTGAAAATGGGAGATGCTCTTCTGAAGTCAGCACAAAGCTCACATCCAGAAGAGAGCTGCACTCTCAATATTTCCATCTGCAGGCATGAGGTTCGACTGTGTTCAAAAAACATTGGGAGTCCTTGTCTTTAATGAGTGTGGCTATCTGACCCATCTGGGTTCACAGGGCAAAAAAAAACTCCACTAGAATCCTGCAAGGTAAACCCTAGAATTGATCAAAAATCCAGGGACGGTCTGCAGACACGTACTTGATTCATTGGCCATTAATACGATTTGTAGCTTCAAGCAAAGTGCATTAGAACCCAACTTCTGGTCAAACCAGCTCTGCAGGCCTTTTCGGTAATCTGGATTAGGCCTTCTGTAGTTTGACCTGGTTGTCCTCTTACACTTATGGATTTTAACTGATTCAGAAGTAAGCACTATACTTCCAGTAGCGATTGTGTGCACGATGGGTGCAGGAGTAATTCACTGGGGAAACACTAAACTGGAACAACTACAGACACTGGAGGCCTAGAAAGAAGGCGGCAGGTACTGACATGGGGTCACCATTGCGGATGTGCTTGCAGGCAGTCTGGATGACCGACTCGCAGGCCTCGTTCAGCGCCCGGTCGATCCGGTAGTCCGCGCCAGGGTCCGTTTCCTGGATCAGATTCTGCAGCTGCAGGGACACAGAGGGCTCCTTCAGTGGCTTAGGCCACATGCAACAGCACAAGACTTGGGCAGGATGGAGTTAAGGAAGGAAAAGGTGCAGGATTTCTGCCTTTGCATCGCTACTTAAACATTACCTGCACAAGGCAAAATTACCAAGCTGAAAGCACCTCTTGCACAGACGTCACCTCATAAGCAATTAGGAGACCTACGGACTGTACGTGTATAAATCACTATCCGCCTTGAAGAGGTGCTACTGCGTGAACAGTCAGTCACAGGTGTATATGAAATACAGTACACAACACACAGTGGAGCACTGACAGACTCGTGGCAACAGCCAGCCCAACCTTCTACCCTGATCTCTCAGAGGAACCCCAATGTATTGACTTCTGCCCCAACTGAGCTTCCACCCTGCGACGTGAAACCATGCAAAGCCGGCCCTTTTACCGGGCCTCAGCAGACAAACGAGCGATCAAGGGTGCGAAGTAAACAGCTTGGCCAGAACAGGACCCAGGAGATGCTCGAGTCCTGCAGGAACCCCCTGAAGAACCCCAGGCCCGCGCCAGGCGGCGGCCCGTCTCACCGACTGCTGGCAGAGGGGCTCCAGGCTCCCCTTGTCGCCGCGGCCCACGCGCATGAGGCAGTGCAGCGTGCGCCCCTTGCGGTGCAGGCCGGAGCAGTGCGCCTCGATCTCCCCGCGGCAGTGCAGCACGATCTCCGGGCTCAGCGAGAAGTCCTCCATCAGCATGCGGCGGTAGTCCAGCATCTCGCCCTGGCACTCCCCGCTCACCGTGCGGCCTGTCACACACAAAGGGCAGAGGCACAGCCGCAGTGAGACGCCAGCCCGCCCCACGGGCGCTCCCTGCGGGGCGATTCGGCGAAAGGATCTGGGGCTGGAAGCCGGAAGCGTCAAGGTTATATTTAATCAAAACTAGCTGTTGCAACAGCAGGCCCCACACCTCTGTAAAAAGACACCGTCCTTCAGATGAGACGTAAAACCGAGGTCCTGACTCTCTGCGGTCATTAAAAATCCCAGGGCGTCTCTCGAAAGGGTGTGACCCCTGCATCACGGCCAAACTTCTGTCCCCCCCAGTGGCCTTTACCCTTCATGACCTCCTAATAATCCCCATCTTTGAACTGGCTTCATCCCCCTGCTCTCCTCCGCACTGAGAGCTGGTGTGTGGGGAGCGGACTGGCAAATCATCCAGGTGGGGCTGGAGATTGGTAGTGGTGGAGGGGATCTCCATTAGGGGCAGTGCAGTGGCTCTGTGGCTAAGGATCTGTGCCTGAGGCTGGAAGGTTGCCAGTTCGTATTCCGTGGCCAGCAGGGGAATCCTACTCAATTGGGCCCCTGATCAAGGCCCTTAACCTCAACTGCTCCTGGGGTGCCGTACAAATGTCTGAGCCTGCGCTCTGACCCCAAGCTTCTCTCCCCGTCTGTGTCTCATGGAGAGCAAGCTGGGGTATGTGAAAAGAAATTCCTGATGCAAGAAATTATGGCCAATAAAGTGCTCTTCTCTTCAAGCGCTTTGAGTGGAGTGTCCAGAAAAGCCCTGTACAAAAGTGTCAGCAATCATGAATTACCTCTGTGCACAGCCGACTCCAGGCAGAGCAGCAGGTAGGAAAGCCGGGCCTCTCTTGCCCGGGGCAGGTTGTTGTCCACGCTGCAGCGGTATTTGCGCAGGTCCACCTTGCAGGCCTTGGCCAGCGAGTAGCTGACCTTGTAGTCCTGTGCGATCAGCTTCTGCCGCGTGGTCAGGGCATCCCGGCACTGCGCAGAAAGGCAGCTCTCGTCAGACCCGCTGGAAACCAGACCGCTGCTGGTGCCCTGGTGCTGCCCCCATGTGGCCACCGGCGGGCTTCACGTACCTTTTCAGACATGGCCTCCTCAAACTTGTGGTTGAAGAGACACTTGTAGACTCTGCCCTCGCCAGCCTGGGTCTACACACAACAGAGACAAACAGATCACACACACACCACACAAAAGGAAGCAAGGAGGTTTGTAAAATGTGGTAAAAAACGGTACAGCGTAGCATGGGTAGGAGCAGGACATTCCAGCTCATCCAACTGACTCAGCTGTTCTCATTTAAAGAGCACAAAAAGGAAGCTCTACAGAACTAGCAGCCTGTTTGGTCACTGGCCCAAGGATCTCAGCATGGTGCTTCTTGAAAAAAGTCCAGCTCTTACACCAGCGGTAACCCCTGATCTCTGGAAATCAGTGCGCAGAGGAGAAGAGAAAAACCTGTCAAGTTAAGTGACCAAGATGCTTCAACACTTAATGTTAGGATGTCTACATCCCAGTACCTCAGGTTTGCACTCATTTGCCTGTTTTTAGGTGGCAAAAACCAGTGAGCACATCAAGTTTAGCACCCCAGCACCCTGCACCTGGAATTGCAGTGTCAGAGGTGAGGCAGAAGGTTTTTCTACTCAGTAGAATTCACTTAAGGAAAACTGAAACTTCCTTTCTGGAATCCCACTCAAACCTCTCCCTTCAGAGGTGCTGTATTCACCAGGAAAGAGAAGGGCAACCAGGTTTCGTAGGAGCAGGTGAGATGCGATGCTGCACCGGGCTACGCCTGCCTGTTGGAAGCAGACTGATCAAAAGGGCTCTGGGGCCTTACGTTCTCGCAGAAGCGCTCCCGGTCATCGCGGCAGGAGAAGAAGAGGTAGCGGTCGAGGTGGAAGTCGTCGGAGGAGAGCTCGGCCACGCGCAGGATGGCCTTCTTGCACTCCTCCTTGATGCTGTGCCGCCCCTCCTGCTGCTCGGCCTCGCTGACCAGCCCCTTCTCCAGGCACGCGATCACCTCGCCCTGGGAGTGGACGTCCTGCGCGGAGAGGGAGGGGAGAGGGTCTTGGCTCAGCTCTGTGACACGCGGACACGGCCCGTCCTCAGGCCTGGTCTCGCCACTCAGCGCAAAATCAGCATCACGAGTCTCAAACACTACGCGCCAGACTGAAAATTTGAGACATGAATATTTCATGCGATGTTCAAAGCAGTGGAAAAAAAATAGGTTCTGAGCAGATTAGGCTTTTGATATGGGTTTTACACCACAGACGGGTTTAGGCTGTGCAATACCAGAGAATACTGGGGTTTGTAATATCCAAGTCAGAAACGACTGGGGGGGAGGGGGACAGACCACAGGTACAGAGGTCTAGGCACCCATAGCTTTCCTGGTGTCTATAATTCTTTTGCTGCAAACTACCTTATATTTCAGAGGCTGTTTAAAAAGACAAGAGCAGGTAAGGTCTGCCACACTGCATATTTCATTATACTTGGCTCTTCCAATAAAACAGCCCATTAAAATCCATCTACATTTTATTAGATTGGTCTCAGCAGTGCATCCATCATGACACACACCCTGACCGCGAGCAGCCTATTAAAAACCCATGCCTTCTTGCCATTTCAGTGTATTTTAATGTCTCAAAGTGAATCATTATTTCAGGTAAGCTACAATATGCCATGGACAATGACTTCAGTCAAAAGCACTGTCTCTGAAAGGAATTGTGTAACCCAAGTCCTTGAAAACAATGTTTTTCACACAGACTGTTCTTCAGTGGTGATGAACTTGGAGTACATGCAAAATGCACTTTTACAAAGGATTGCATTTAACTAAGGCAGTACAGTGGTGAAGTAGTTAGCTTTGCTGCCTTGGAGAGCTAAGTTCCTGGGTTGAAATCCTGGGGTGCAGTCTGTTTATATATTCTCCTCGTGTTTGCATGTGTTTCCGCCAATCGGTTATTGGGAAGGTTTGAGATGCATCACACTGTTGATGCAGATGAGCTACACAGGACTGGACCTCTGCTTAAACATACAAGAGCACAGAGAGAGGTTGTTTTTTTCCCCCCATGATTCGAGGTTTTCAAAGGACAATGTTATCATCACTTAATGATGGGACTTGTTTAGATTGTGCATTTTTTATTTTTGCCATTCGGTTTTTCAGAAATCTACCATGAGCCCAGAGGCTCCTTTCAAAATAATCAAGAAATCACCAAACTCTTAAAAAAAAAAAAAGAACTAGAACCATTGAAGGAAATTATCCATGACCTCCTCCATGATGGGTCAAGATGAAGACATCCGCGGCTGCAGCGAGCACCAGAGCACCGTCTTCCTCGCCATCGGGGCGCCTGCACGCGGCGCGGGCACGGGGTCGCTCTTACCTTCTCTCCAGGGTTAATGCTGCCACAGCGGAGGGTGTTGATGTCCTCTCGGCACTTGTCCATGAAGCCGCAGATGAGCCGGTAGTCGCTGAAGATGATGGTGGTCATCTTGGTGATGTACTGGTGGCACTGGTACTCAGTGATGTTCCCTCGGTGGTCCACCAGACAGGACACCAGGTAGCCCTTCCCTCGCTCTTCCTCAGCACACTCCTTGATCTGCCCGGAACACAGCCAGCAAAACAACCAAATTAACACGAACAAGACCCCCTGGCGAGAGCACCGCAGGTGCCCCTTCCTGCTCACAACTAAAATTGCTCACTCACCTCCGAGATGGTGCTCTTGCACACTTCCACAGCAACGGACTCAAACTTGGGATCCGTCGTCAAGTTGTACTTGTAGTTCCACAGCAGCTGTTGGAAAGGTCAGAGGTCACTGTCAAAGCTCAGAGGGAACCAGGCACATGATGGCTTTAAAAGTAAAGACAAGACACCGCCTGCAGACTATTAATAGGTTAATGGCTTCACAGAATCCCTTATTTAGAGTGACCTCATCTACAGAGTAATTAACACACTGGGCAGTAGTACTCACATGGTTTTTATCTACAGATGAAAGTAATGGAGAAAGTCACATGAAACACTCATGTGGTGCTTTAAAAAGACCAAATTTGCATTTTACATACCACAAGGAGCAAAGTGCAACATCTGCAACTATGAGAGATTTAAAATGGCTACTTCAATCAAAATGACATCACTGTGTAGCCTGATTAAGATGGAAGTGAGCTTGTTAAATTTCACATCGGGACAATTCAACTGACACCTTCAGCTCTGTCAGGTCATGGAGTTATCAAAACTGGCTGGCATTTTACAAGCCTGATACATTTACAAGCAACCTACAGGCAGTCTGCAGGAGGCCTAAGGGCAGATAAATCAGAGTTTTACCACTGATAAGCAAACATTCAAAGAAAGCCTCCTAATAAACCTGCAAGACACTGCTGGTAATTTCAGACCCATTCGCCCACACTGTGCTCCCAAAGGTTAAAAAGCAATAAAACTTAAACACCTCACCTACCCTATTTGATCCAACAACTGACTATTTTAAAACGTACATGACACAGAAATACAAAACTGATCTTGCATTTTAGAATAATCAAAAGGCATGGCTGGGGTTTTACTGCTTCTTATTCAGAATACAGATATTAAATTGTCAAGAAGGGAAGGCACTAATATTTCATTTCAATGGAATATTCATATTAAAATGCTTAGTCTTACTCCCATTGTTATAACCTAATGATTTAAAGGCATATTAGACTCCAAGGCCTATTAGGCAGGGGATTACAGACCTCAAACAGCTTGAGAAGGAAAACAATTTACACAGATGAAGCATTCGATTCATTTAATGAATGAACGCCCAGGGCGTTTCTCGAAAAGAGTAGGGGTGTAACCCCGGCATCCTGGCCAAATTTCCCCATTGGCCCTTACCAATCATGGCCTCCTAATAATCCCCATTTCCTGTAAAGTGCTTTGAGTGGAGTGTCCAGAAAAGCACTATATAAGTGTAAGCAATTATTATTATGATAATTATTTTTCAGGAGAAACGGGACTCAGGCAGCAGACCTTGCCCTTCTTACTGCACTCAGAGGTCTCTGCTCAAGCCGCGCTTGAGACAAGGGGCTCCGACACCCCAGAGCAGAACAAGACCCCGAGCGCGCAGGAGCCAAAGACACCGCCTCTCTGCACGAAAATGGGGGTCCTGAGGAGAGAGAGATGAAGGGGAGAAGCACTACTTACATGGTTGCAGTCTGCAGCAATCTCCGAATCCTGTCAGGGGAGGAGAGAAAAAAAAAATCAGTCGGTTCAAGCAGAAAAACACCAGGTGAGCTTCTCTTAACAGTTTTCAACCAATGGTAATTAGGGTTCACCAAAACAAAAGGGGCAACATTTCTTTATTCCTACACACGCAGGTTTAATGACCACTGTATACAAAGCTTTTCCCGCTGCTACAGGCACCTGCGTTACACAGCCCCATCCCGCTGGGAGCTGGACAGCCTCCGCACGCATCGACACCCCGGCCAGGGAGGGGGCGCTCCAAACAAGCACAGAGCGAGCGCCCCGGCAGGCACACCCACTGCAGCCACACTCCTCCTGAAGGGAATCGCCAGACTGAAGGGCTGAACACAGGGGTGGGGTTCAGCTGGTACCCATTAACTGGACAGGCAAACCCGCAAACACTCCTACCATCCTTTCACTGAACCCCCCCCAGAGCCAGAGCCACTGGCAGAGTCGATCCCTTCGGCTTTGTTTGACACAACCGGGCCCACAGCGCCTCAGCTCTGACTGGCGCCGCAGTCCAGGCAGGTTTCTGAACAGCCGATGCGCTCATTCCAGAGGGGCTTACCACTCACCTTCGTCCGCAAGGAACAGCTGAGCGCAGCGAGCCTTCGTCAAAGCACGGTTTGGTACAAAAGGAAAAAAACTCACATCCACCATGTCCTGCAGGAGCAAGCGCAGAACGAACGGACGCAAAAACGAGACCTCAGGAAACGAGGGCTGGTGACTTCCAGTACCCCTGAATCAACCTCATTAGTGCAGCCCAGTCTTGTGTGGCACTGAAGGGCCTCTCTTTAAGGCAAGGGTGGCACAGCAGGCATACTGATCACACCGGGATTAACGGTCATGCTGTCATGAGGTAACTCAAAACTCCACCTGGTATTAAAAACAACTGCGATCACGGTCACACTCACAAAGTCGTGGGGATTTGACAAAGGGAGGGTACCCCAGGAAGCCTGAAGAACGGGGGGGTGTGATGCAGGCTCAGGGACACATGGTCTGAATCACTGAACAGATACCAATCAAGCACACATGCTGGGAAACTCGAAGAGTGAACACGAAATTGATTAATGCAAATCGCATCATTGCCATAATCCCGCTCTCGCAATCAATAACCCTGCTCAGGGCTGCCTTGTTCACTGCTCAGCTCTAATGCACCCTGTACTGCTTCTCCTTCAGCTGGGCAGCCTCTACCCGCAAACTGGAGGTAGGGATTAAAAATCCTTCAATCTCACCCCCTTCTCCACTCTTATTTTAGAGACAAGAGCTCCAGTCCAAACCAAAGAGGTGTCTTTCAGGTTTTCTGCATGAGCAACGCCTCATCCTCAAAGGCTCTAAAGAGAACTGTCCACTAATAATCAAGGGTAAGGAAAAACGCATTTTCAAATTAAGGTCCATCGTCCTTGCTCAAGCACAAAGCTGCTGAGGGGCAGAAAATACC